CCAGCCGTACCGCCGATGTGGAGAAACGTCCGAGATCTCGGACGTTTTTCGGCCCTCCATCTAGCGGCCGAAATGTAATTTAATTAAAATTTGAATAAATATTGCTTTAAAACAAGTGTTTCAGTTTGGCAGGCTAGAGAATAAAATATACTGAATACGGCATTGTCGTGTAAAGTGAAAAGTGGCGAAATTTTTGAAAAATTGAATTTAGCAGAATTTAGTGAATAACATCATCACAACCCAAACTGCGAGGCCGCCGAAGGCGGCCTCGCAAAGGGGAACACCTCATCAATAATCCTAACCTAATATAACAGCGAGGCCGCCAAAAGCAGACGAGCAAATGGGAACACTCCATCAATAACCCTAACCTAATATAACAGCAAGGCCGCCGAAGGCGGCCGAGCTAAAGGGAACACTCCAACAATAACCCTAACCTAATATAACAGCAAGGCCGCCGAAGGCGGCCGAGCTAAAGGGAACACTCCAACAATAACCCTAACCTAATATAACAGCGAGGCCGCCGAAGGCGGCCGAGCTCAGAAAAACACCATTTTAAAATGACCAATAAAATACCATTTAAAATGATCATCTTTAAGCTTAAATAAAACAAGCAAAACTTCTAAATTGTACAGTAAATCTAATACCAAATGATTAATTTGCACAACTCGCTAGTTTAGTGCTACAAGCTGATTGTTTTGATACCATGTAAGGTTTCATATTTCTGTTTTTCTTGGTAGACTTATATTTCAACTGTGCAGTGTGTTTGTGTTTTCTGGTAATGCGCACACAACATTCATTTTAAATTTGTGACTGTGACTTGTTTATCTGTCTCCAACATGTCTCTATCTGATATTTCCAAAAAGGAACTTCATCCTTATTTGGAAAAGCAAAATCTGTCTGTAGAAGAATGTTTCAACAAACTTAATGACTCGGCCAGTCAAATTCAATGCTTGTTTTGCAAAAAAAGTTTTGGTTTTAAAGAGAAGCTCCAACAAGAATCTTCCAAACACTTGACACGATGCAAAGAGTTCTTAAAGATTTACAGTAATGACTCAATTATTCTTCGTGAACATCTGGGTTTGACAACAATTCTTAAAGACCTCGCAATTCAGTATAGCTTTGCTTCACCTGTTAGAATCCTCATTAACAGAGAAACTAAAGATGTTATTGTTTCTCAAGATAATCTTAATGAGCTTGGCGATCACTGGGAAGAGCTTGAAAGTTTCAATATTAAGAAACTGTCGCTGCTTAAGATCGAATACACAAGAAAATGTCTTCCCTATGAACTCCAGTCAACTGAAAATACTTCTTCATCACAAGGGACAAGGCGACCTAATGAATTCACTCCAGCACGAAGACCGGCTAAGCAAACTAAGCCCAACACTCCTAAAGATTTTCTTGATGCTGATCAAAAGCTTGAAATTACTGAAAAACTTACTAAAGATGATGGTAAGGTTTATCTAGAGTTGGTTTCAACAGTACATTTAATTTGTTTTATTTTTATAGTACTCAAATTATTTTCCTTTGATGATGTATTTGAAGTTTCTAAACTTGCAATTTGCAAATTATGCATCAATTCACAAATTTCTGCTTCTACTAAACATAGAATGTTCGTTTTACAACGCCACTTAAAAAGTGTAACACACAAAAGCAACCTTTCGGATTTTGAAAAAGATCAAACTGACTTTCTTCATACAACTCATCCTAACTTGACTTTTGCTCAGTACTCAAAAATGATTAAAAAATCGGCAATCAAAGAAGGTAAACAGTACTTTTTGCAAATTATTATTTTTAATATAAATTATATTTTAGGCGTTTCGGCTTATGCTGTTGTCGATGCAGGAGTGCCTTTAAAAGCAATGGAGAAGTTAAATCAAGCATTCAAACAGTACGATGGAAACTTTGCCTGTTCTCGAACAAAAATGAATACCATTGTAAAAGGACCTTTTTTGAATATGGCACTTTCAACTATGAAACACGATTTGAAAAACGCAAAATCAATTGCCATCCATTTTGATTCCACAACTATGCACAACAAACGAATGCTAACAATTTTCGCAAAAGCTTACATTCCAGCAAAAGGTCATATTATAAGATGCATTGATCTTAGACCAATAGTTAAAGAAGATCATGAAACACTATCTAAATGCATAATTGATGCTATCAACAATGCATCAATTGACAACAAAAATGTGGTTGCACTAGTCTCTGATAATGCCAACACCAATCTTGGAGGTGTCAATCATGCATTTGGCGACAACGTAGCAACATACCTACAGACGAAGTTTAACCGCAACATAATAAGATATGGCTGCAAAGGACACATCATCAACAATGGTTTTAAAGAATCATGCAAAATTATTAATCCGTTGTTCAACATGAAAAAGTCAGTTAACATGGTCTACAGTTACTTCAATCAAAAACCAATCAGACGTGATGAGTTGGCAAAACTAAAAAAATCTAAAAGCACTTCAAATGAAAAAGAACAAAGTTTTGCTTTTGTGAGAAACTTTGTTGAAACTCGTTGGCTTTCAGCTTACAATTCTCTTCACAGTTTGCTGCCTAACTTTGAAATCCTTCGTGAATATTTTGCCGAAAAGTACCGAACTGCGTGTGAGGAACAAGCGAAAAAGAAATCTCAGGAAAATAAGAAAGAAAAAGTAGATAAATTGAAACTTCTTAACGAGTTCTTTTCAAACAACCTCAATTTTGTCTTGGTCGATGTTTTGGAACAAATTTCATTTCATTACTTCACAGCAGCTTTAAAAATTCAGGGAAATGACATCACCATTATGGAAGGATTGCAGATACTTGATGAACTTCATAATTTTTGCCAAAATCAAAATTTCAAAAGCAGAAATGAAATAATTGAAAAGCATGAAACAAAAGCAAAGATTTCCAAACTCACATTTGAACAAGTTCAAACTCTGAAAAACGGAATTGACAACTTTTTGGAAACAAGCGCTTTATACTTTGAAAGCTGGCTAAAACCATATTTCAAATTCAGGAATTTTCAGTGGGCTCTTTTTGCAGATAATAAAAGGGTCGGAATCACCAAAAACAAAGTCACAGAAACAATAGAAATTCTAAAAAATTGCGGCGTTTCTACAGCACCCTCAAATGACGATGATCTTGAAACAGAAGTTCAAACAATCAATGAATTGTCTATGGATGATAAGTTTCCAAATGAAGATACAACAATTGACAAATGGAACTTTATTTTCAAAACTGCGTCTGACAATGGAATAACTTTTCCTGTTATGGAAAAAGTAATAGCAGCCATTTTATCAATATCTCCAACAAATGCTGTTTCAGAAAGCATTTTTTCTAAAGTCAAGCATTTTTGGACGGATGATAAGTCAAACATCAACTTTTTATCAATTTTGGCGTATTTTATGATCAAGTACAACTTGAATATGAGTCTTCCGGATTTTAAAGCACTTTTATCAAGCGATCAAGAATTTCTTGGATCTCTTCGAACAATTGAAAAGAATACCCATGTGAAAAAATTGGATTTTTCAGATGAATCTGAAAGTTTAATCACAAAATTTATGGAAAACTATGGAAAAGAGCTAATTGAAACCGAATATATATTTGATGACGATTTTATTCATTATTAACAACATTATTCTTTGATTCTAAATTATTCTTTTTGTTTAATAAATATTTTAAATTGCGCAAGTCTCCAGTAAAGTGAACAAAATGTGGGCGGTCAATGATCGGCACATCAACGCGTGTGTCTAAGTTTTTATGGCAAATGCCTTTATTATTTGAACTGAGACAAGAAAAGCGTGCAGAGTAATGAGAGCAAACAGAGAGGAATGTGCCGATCTTGCACCGCACTGACGAGTGAGCGACTATCCGAGTATCCGTAAATTCAACCAGTGACAAAGAAAAGAACAAGGAAGAGAAGCATTTGTAGGGGTTGGGGCCTAGCCACAGTGTTTTCAATCATAAATGGGAAAAATGAATGTCATTGTTCTCGTAATTTTAAGTTTTTTGAAAAGAAAAAGAAAAAAGCAAAAGCTTGCAGTTGCAAAAAAATGTCGTGCGATGAAAAGGATTGCGATGAAATGTCTGCCCACAAAAGAAAAACACTTGCGATACAACAGGTAGTATATGAATGTGTCGTTTCCCTTTGCTACCGAGCCAGTTTTGCTTGAGAAATTTGAACTCCAGCGAAAAGCATAGCATTTCTCCACAATATTGACGGACAGTAAACACCACCAAACCGCATTTTTATTATCTTCAATTCAAACAACAATTTGCAGTTCAATTTCTGGCTTTCAAGACGCTAGACGGAACTTTATCTATCTTCAGTATTTCATTATCACTTTTCTCCATCATTATCAAGTTTATTTTGTTGATAAACAAGACACAAGGTAACATTGCTTCATTTTTTCAAACGGACTAGTTTTTTATCAATTTTGTACAATTTGCAGCTAAAACACATCACAATGGGGTGCTTTCCTCATTTCAGTTTACTTAAAATGAAAGCACTCACAATCATTGTGCTAATCATGTCAACTCACGTCAACGCAATTGTCGATGGCGTCTCGAGCAAGTCTTACGATCTAAGCAATTACCACAACTACTCAAAATCAGACACCAGCTCAGCCTACTTTACTACAAGCAAAATCCCACTTGTATGGAAAAAATCGTCTCACGTTTTAAGGACCGGACACAATTATGTGACTCTCACACTTAACATCACTTCTCCATGTACCGTCTTATCACAAATGAACGTTTCTAAAGAATTTCAGAATCAGAAAAACGACCGAGTTTCACTCTGCAACAGCAAGTTTCAAAACATGATGTCGGCTTTTAGTGATTGCCAACTGGTCAAAAAACCAAAACTTTTTATTCGAAACCCAGTTCTAGTGAAGCATCAGAAAACTCGCCAACCTCGTT